AATAGGCTCTGGGAACTGCTGTCTTCATGTTGAAATTTTAGATTTTATATCAGCATTAGCTTACAAATCGTAGATGATAACATTAACACAAAATCAGCAAGAGAATACTCATTGGGAACACAGTTTTTATATTAAAAAATATGAGATATTCACAGTTTTCTTCTTTCTTCTTGACTTATATTGATAAAATACTTTTATAGCTACAATCTATTTCACTTTCTGGTTCCAGATCCAATGCCTCCTTGATCAGCAGATGGATGTTACTAACACATTCATTTTACATAGAACTCACACATCTTCGACTTCTAAAAATGCTTTTCTCTGTAAAAACTGTGATCACTGAGAATGGGAAAGATAGAAGACAAAATTCAAATGTAATGAGAAAAGAGATAAAATGATGACAACTTTTACTAATAGAAGAGTGAATTATAAAGGACATAACAGGTAGCTTTGATGACGGAACAGGAAGCTTGGCATCGGCTTACAAAATGCTATGGCCTCCAATTTTATTTCTGTTTAATCCAAACAGGAGTGAAAAACACATTATCGATGAATTTCAAAATCCCTCTACAAGTCAAGTTAACAAGGGTTTTAGGTCGCCATATCACAAGACAGGTTTATTTTGTGTGTTTTAAGGCAAAGCAAAATTTTCCAAAAATGAAACACCTACAAAATAAATTTGCTTTGGAAATAAATTTTAGTAATAAAATAATACTTCTCACTTATTAAATATATATATATATATAATTTGCCTTTACATATGATTTAGCAACTTGCATCAAAAAATTCAAGTGTTCTATACACATTTGCAAATAAATATTTTAAAACACTAATATATAAATGACCAGTTGGTTTTCATTCAGGTGTTTGGGTGTCAACAGTTAGCAAAGGGAAAAAAATAAAAAACAAACTATGTATAGAATTTTCCTAACACGATATGAGAATGCAGCATACTGGTGAGAATTTAGTAATTTTTTCCAACCACACATATTGGTGAAACACATGTGTTCTCCTTCTGTGAAACAGAATGCAGCAGTGCTGAAGCCATTCCATTTCACTGTAACCCCTCTTTTCATGCAAATTACTTTCTTTTAAAAGATCACCTATAGAAAGCAACTGTACAGCATGAAAAATAAATCACTTTAGGAAAAAAATGTGAATTAATGAAAACTGTACTCATTTACTTCCCCCCCCGATTGCTAACTAGACATTTGTGTCCATTAGAAATATAAATTAATTAAAATGTCTGCATGATTTCCAAAGCAGAGAATGTCATCCCTTCAAATTAAGACCCATAAGCATCTCAAAATAATGTAATTCCTTTAAAAATGACATGATAAGAAGTCATCTTTACTGTACTCATTTTTCATTCAGGTTCATTGGCTATCAGTGTGGCTACACTGAGACCAACCAACTTCCTATTACCCTGTGGTACCCACGAGACACCAATAATTAAAACAAATTTACTAGAAAATATTAGGTAGCAATAAAACAAAAAACTCCCACTGGGCTATGCCAGCATCCCTTAAATTCATCATTTAAATTACTGTTTCAAGAACTATTGGATTGACATACAAGGGTCAATGTACGTTAATATTCAAGTTTTACCTAATAAAGTTTGCGCTTAGAATCCCTTGACTTTCCCTAATAAAGATCCTATCTTTAGACATCTTCATTAGTTAAATGCAGCGAGGCATTCATACTAAGTACAGTGAAGCAGCTGCTTTAGTTATCCCATGCAAAGTCCTGTTACAAGATCACTGTGCTGACACATGTCATGAATACATTGTTGACATAAGGGAACTGGGCTTGGACTTCCTCTAAAGTGGGACCCACATATCCCTTCTGGACAATTTAGGCCAAGAACCTGCTCAGCCATCTCAGTCCACGGAACAGTCCCTGCCTCGCTTCTTTCTGTAGTTCTGAAGTTATAAACAGGACAGAAGGGACTCCATCAGGCCCTTCCTAAGAAGAAAGTCTAACCATCAACATCAGGTAGCAACAACTCAACACAAAAGGAATTTTTCCTGGTGATAAATTCTGATGTGCCCCTTCATTACATTTCAAGTTCAATCTTCCAAAGTAACTAAATCTAACAGCAAATGTATAAAAGACAATGGGAGGTAGGAAGAGGGTTTGACAATAAGCGATCTAATAATTAAAGAAAAAATACGTCAACAACGGGACTGAGGGAGAACAACCTAGGGAAAATCGCACACTCCTTCTGAAAGAACAGTATAAAACATGGTCTATTCGATATTTGTAAGTTGTTTTCTATATATTTATCTATAGATACATGTATCTGATTAAGAAATGTCTAAAGAGATTAAAAATATCTTAAATATATTTATGCTTATTACTTAGCTATGATACACATTCAAAAATATTGATAGGCAGCAAAAGGCATAATACATAAATTAAACTGTCTACCAAATTATTTTCTAAGTGGTAATGTACGCCTTTAAAACTTTATATTGGAACATTGGGCTAGTCAAGAGGGTCATGTTGAAACACTGATGACATACAGCAATAGAAAAGGTTTCACGACATTTTTCAGAAGAATGTAATCTTAGAAAATATTAATAATGAAATCTACTAACATCTTAAAGGTGAGAGTTGTGCCTCTACGACTCTAACAGCTGTATATTGTGAAAAAGCAAAGAATATCTGTATAACAAAATTAAAATAGCAATCTCAAAAATAAAGCCTTAGTTTAGTATATAAGGAATTTGGTGGGGAGAGCAGAACGATGTCCAAAAATGCCAATGACCTTGATCATCTGAAGAAAAAACGAAATGAAAGGGTAAGGGCACTTAAGCACAAAAAGTAAATTTCACAAATAGATATTTGAAGCACAAATTGGGTGATCACAGAAGACAGCAAGTAAAAGCCAGAATGCCCGGAAGCAGGCTAGCAGCGCAGCCCATGTGAATGAAGGGTCTCAGCACTCAGCATCATTCCAACAAGCGTCCCGGCCACTGTGTGTGCAAGACCTCAATTAGCCACATGGGACAAGCAGCTGCTGCGCTGGACAGAGCAGGACTGAAGGAGAAACAACACTGTTTACAGGCTGGAGAGAAGAAGATAATTTCCTAAAATCCACTCCAGACCCAAGAAATCACAAAATTTTCAGGTATGAAAATGACCACTGGAGTCTTTGTTAACTCATTTTAACTAAATGTTTTTGAATTTAAGATTTCCAAATATAGAGAGTAAAACTAGGGGGAAAAAATGAAATTCCAGAAATTTTTCCAGTTGATCTTAATGGCCTTTTTAAAAATTATTTTTTTTTAATGTTCAAGGAAGGGAGAACCCCTCTATTCACAAAGATGAATAGACTCACTTTGAAGGAATGGATAAGCAGTGGAATCATAATGAGTACTAACTGTAGTGCCCATCACAACCACCTCTACTAGGAGCTTCAAAGGGGAAAACATTCACTTGTATTTGAGGAGAGGGGTGCTTTCCTCTTTACACACACCCCATTGATTTGAGCCCAGATCTAGGAATTAGACTGATATCAAAGTTCGACTATTCCAAGCTTCTAGGACAGGTAGGAATGACAGTCACATGGCCTTGCTAAATGCATCCCTTTGCAAAAGAACTGGTTATACTGCTGGGTTATTCCAATGATGAAAAATCTTCCTTGACACTTATTAATCTGAGATTTACCTACAGCTTCTACCTATTTGTCTCATCTCTACCCTATAAGGATACAGAGAAGCAATGAACTTCTTTTTCCTATACAACTTGGAACCTTCTTCTATCCAGAAGCATAGAAAACATTAAAATATATGTCCATTGGCTCAGTGAGTAGGGCACTGGCTCTATATACCGAGGGTAGCGGGTTCAAACCTGGCCCTGGCCAAACTGCAACAAAAAAATAGCCACACATTGTGGGGGGCCTGTAGTCCCAGCTACCTGGGAGGCTGAGGCAAGAGAATCGCCTAAGCCCAAGAGCTAGAGATTGCTGTGAGGTGTGACGCCACGGCACTCTACCAAGGGCGACAAAGTGAGACTCTGTTTCTAAAAAAAAAAATTACATATATATATATATATATATATATAGTCCATATATGAGCTGATGTAATTAATCTTTCATTACTTATCAAGTAGATATCATGCTTTCCTTGTCATCATTCCTACAAAAACACCATTGCTACTTAAATTTACAAAGCACCAATCAGAACCCTACCTCCCCATTAAAGAAAAAAAAAAGGCGATTGTGCCCAGGAACTACACAAATTGCACTGTAAGACACATTGGCAACCCACCCCATTGCACATACCCCTCAATAGACAAAACTCTGTCACCTCATACTCATTCTTCACAGAACACCTGAACTCAAAAAAATAACTGCACAATGCAGTGCTAGCTGATGCCATAAGCAGTTGCTGCCACTAAAATACCTTAACTATGAAAGAAAACATAAATTATTTGTCGCATTAAAATGACATTACAGTACTTAAAAATCAGCTGGATAGACTGTCCATACTACCAGGTAACTACATAAAGAATAGGAAGTAATAATACAGATAACAAAATAAGAAAAGTAACAAAAGAAAACTTTTTGTGGAAAGTAGTGAATTTCTATTTGTTGATTATAGAGTTAAAATTAAAACCCCTCTTATTTTATAATTTTTTTCATTTTATACTTCAAAGAGAATTTTTTTAATTGATTTTCAACTCTGATTTGCAGTGTATAACCTTTAAAAAATAAGGCTACCAGAACTCTTCTAAGGACCTTAGAAACTTTTTCCCAAAGTTAAACACTAATAATTTTTAACATACTTTCCATTACTAATTGTAATGGCAGTTAATTTTATTTCTTCTTTTATCTGTACCTAAAGTTATATAATTAATAACACAATGACATCTACCACCAGTTATCTGAAGGGGTGGTACGCAGACCTGAGTTATACCAATTATCTTTCATTGGAAATACATCATCAGTATTGCGTAAAAATCAGTACTTTAAAGAAAACACCACCAAACACTGCTGGACACAAATTTGGTATATTAATGCCAAACACAGGAATAAAACTCAAAGGTATTTAGATTTCTCCTTCATTTGACAAACAAGGCCACAGACTCAGCCAATACTTTTATGCTGATACTGTAATCAGATAACTCATACTTGTATAGCCTTTCCTACTTCACAAAGAGCTACTATGTGCCTTTTCTAATTGAACCCTCTTAAGAACCAAGTACTACATTGCTATCCACACTCAGGAAAATGAACCCCAGGAAAGGTGAGTCACTTATTCCATGTCACAGAACTATTAACCCACAGAGACAAACTCCTGGCTCCTAATCTGTGGCTCTTTCTGTAAAATCACAGAGGCTTCTCTGTCAAGTTATTCTTCAAACTGGAAATAGAAATAGGAAAAAAATCTAGATTCATCCACTCATGAATTGTCCTTGCTCACTCTGGCTGCAATCAGGTCCTTAGCAATAACATATACGTGTGGGGAACTGAGGGAACAGTGACGACTGAAAAATAAAACACATTCTAATGGTTTTGATTCAGCATTTTAACATTGTTTGTTAAAAATAAATACCTAATACATAGACTCACAGTTACAAAACTGAAAGAGACCTTCAAAGTCATCTGTAAGATATGGTGATACACATGGAGCAGGGAACTCCCCAAGGGCCGCCCTGTGAACTGCTAACCCGCAGCAGAGCCAGGACCACACAGTCAAGCTCTCTGAGCTCTTCCTCTCCATGCCCTGATTCTATTTCCCAATTAAAGGACTAAGTACAGTCCAAATATTTACAAAGAACCGTCACAGTGCTGGAGAGATTAGAAAATTAGATCTTACCAACATCATAAGTGTAAAAATTATTACTATTTTACATATCACTTAAAGCAGCAGGAACTTTGAGTCCTATAAGAAAAATAATCAATGTATATATCTTAGGCTCTTGCAGCCAAAGTTAAGGATCATTCCTAAAATATGATACTTTCCTTCCCTTTAGATACACAGGGATTTTTGGATTGTGTTATTATAATAGATGAGTACATTCAAAAACAGGATAGTCTCTGAAAAGTGTCACCACCTTTAACCAACCTGAAGAGTAAAAAAGTAATAATTTAATATTTCATCATCTTTTATAGATATAGGTCTCTTCAACCTACAAAATACATAATCACATCATCTTCAGAAGGTCATTGTCAAGCAATTTTAAATGTAAATGATGTTTATTTCCCCTCTGAAATATAAATACTAGGCAACAAAATATCTCTGAAGTTTAACTGACCAACAAATCTAAAAATGGTCCAACTTGTAAACTATATATTCCTTAAACAATACTAATTTCCACATTAAAAAAATAAATAATCTAATTGTACCTATAAGTCTTTTAAAAGACTTCATTGCCCCTTCCCCCCATTCAAATCTAATAAGAAATTTTGTTTGGAGAGGCAAAATATAAGAATTTTCTAGATAGTACTGAATGTCATTCCATAGGAAAAAAAAATTATGTAGAGCAACAGTAAACTACTCAGATGATAGAAAATATTGACAATAAAATTAGTTTTTTGTCTCTTATTCACAAGATCATTTTTCCACTTTAATATAAGGTCTAATCTATAGCAGATGCCAGTGCTAACTGACAGAAATATTCCATCTTTCATCTTCTGCTCAATCTGAGGAAGGTTTTCTCCAGAGGTGAAGAGCTGCCTGAATTCTGAAGTGTAGTCTGGATTCCAAGGAGTAATCTTTATAGTTGTTCCTGAAGACAACAACAATAAAATTGTACAGTCAAAATTTCTTTGTATACCAAGGCATGCCACTCTACTCTTCCTTTTTCGAATCTTTTTATTTACGTTGAGAATCTAATATGTCTAACTAGGATCTTAGTAAGATGGAATTCTGAATCTGTGCAGGTGGAAGAGACAGGAAGAGTCTATACTTTGCATATTTTTCTCGTGGTGATCTAAAGATCACACTTTAAGGTTCTACTTAGTTACCAAACCATTCACAAACACACCAAGGTTATGACTGGGGCCTAATAAATTTTGTGAACTATTACTAGTTTTTTGTTGGGTTTTTTTTTTTGAGACAGAGTATCACTCAGTCGTCACCCTAGGTAGAGTGCCATGGCATCACAGCTTTCCGCAACCTCAAACTCTTGGGCTTGAGCAATCCTCTTGCCTCAGCCTTCCGAGTAGCTGGGACTACAGACACCTGCCACAACGCCTGGCTATTTTATTTTTTAGAGATGGGGTCTTGCTCTTGCTCAGGCTGGTCTTGAGAACTCCTAAGTTCAAGCGATCTACCACCTCTGCTTCCCAGAGTGTTAGGATTACAGGTGTGAGCCACAGCACCTGGCCTTTAGTCCTTTTTTAAATTGGGAAATTTTAAGGCAGATGCATATGAACACTATAAACATGAGCAATCACACCAGAAACAAAAAACAAAATCCTTGAAATATTACTGACTGCAACAAAGACAGCAAGATGACTTAATGACACCAAAATTACTTATTCCGATTCTCACATGCAAATATCAGTGGTTTGGCCAATAATTATACACTAATAGGTGAGAAGGGATCATATCTAACACCAAGATTATTCAAATGCCATTGACCTCCCTTTTCTAGAATTAAGAATCAGCAAAGTGGAATACTTTCACACACTGACTTGGCCCACGGGTGGGCTCTCGCCTCCTTCTGTGCAGTGGCATGTTTTTCTACAGCTCCTCATTTTACACAGGCTAAGGGCTATGTCCTGGTAACCTTGATGAGGGCTAAGAAAATGTAGTGTGCATAAACTAACATCAACACTACCCTAGAATTTACCAAACGATGTGACTGAGTATTTTCGTAAATGTCAGGCCACTGATTTTGGAAAATTTACAAACTTCCTACTGCTATAAGGAGGAAACTGCAGACAATTGATAGTCCTAAAGTTATTGGGAAGTATCTGTATGTTTCCATCATTGATACTGTCTGGAGTTAGTAGTGGCTTTTGATTGCTTTTTAGTAGTGAATTACTAGTCTTGTATTTTCATCATTAAAAATTTGCCTTATTGAATATTGCATTAAGTAGTAGTGACTATGTACAAATAATATTTGTAACAGTATTTATAGTCCATAATTTTCCAATGACTAGATTTGAAGATACGTATATATCACAGTTGAAATATCAGTCATCTTCACTCACAGCCTATTAACTTGCTTTCCTACCACCCATGAAGACAGGTACGAAGGTAGGAAGGTTAGGTGGGGAGGTAGGTAGACAGATAGACTATTTTTTTTTTTTTTTTGAGAAGAAGTCCTTTTTGGCACTATCACCCCCCTGAAACTTCTTCCCATTGCTATGCTCTCTTCATAGCAAACATCCTAAAAAAGTGGCCTGAAGTAGTAGACTCCATTTCTTTCCTCACCTCACTGGTCAAGGTCACCAGTGATCTTCATGCTGCCGAATTCGACAGCCCCTTCTCTGGTCTTACCTTACTGTAACTCTTACCAGCTACCCTCATAACTGACCATGCTCCTCCTTTTGAAATACTATTCAGTTAGCTTTCTCAGATGTATTAAGGAGACTTTAATTGGAGATTAATCTCTTAAAAAAATGGCATATCCCAGCCGTTGTGGTAGACCTCATTCTTTACCTATATAATTTTCCAAAAATGACGTCATCAAGTACCATGACTTTAAGCCTCACTATCTGTGCTGGTGACTCTAAAATCTCTACATCCGGCTCGGCGCCTATAGCTCAACCGGCTAAGGCGCCAGACATGTACACCTAAGGTGGCGGGTTCGAATCCCCAGCCCAGACCCGCCAAAACAACAATGACGTCTGCAAACAAAAAATAGCCAGGCGTTGTGGCGGGCGCCTGTGGTCCCAGCTACTTGGGAGGCGGAGGCAGGAGATTCGCTTGAGCCCAGGAGTTGGAGGT